CTGACGAATTGGGATCTCGCCCGAGAGCCCAATCACCTTCGAGTGTTAACTAAACAAGCCAATGACAGTTGGCGTGCATGTTTCGCCACGCGCACCCCGCCCCGCAGCGCGGGTATAAAAGGAGAGCGCGTGCAAACGCACATCAGTTTTTCGCTGAGGAGCCGAGACTACGTGCCCCGGCCGTACAGCGGTGGTACAGCAACTGTGGCGACGGGACGTAACGTCTCCGTTCCCTCCTTCAGGGAACGAGGGTTACACAAGTAACCGAGACGTTTTCTGTGGAGTTTGTACCTCTCCAGTTGGACTGTGGACCTTCTATGAACTGTAATGAGATGGTAGTGGACATGAAACACACTGAAGGAGTGTGAAATACATTCAAACTGACCTTCTCTGTTTTCCTTTTGTTGCTGCCAATGTTTCAGTCAGCACATTTTGCTAGGCTGGCTTAAAGCCTCAAGTGAGGTGTTACACTGCATTTGCAAATGTGCCAAATCCCCCTGCATTCTGGCAGGTTGTTTGGTACTCAGCAGAAAACCCTTCTGAGGGGCAAAACAGGAAAGAGCGCCCCCTACTCACAACACAGCTTTGCTATCGATTCTTGGAGCAGTTCTGCTTCTGAACGCCTCTGCAGAAGACCGCCACACTCAGAAAACACGTTTATGTAGGAGGAGACATTCAAAGGAAGGTGGCTTCGTCTGCTCTGAACAAATGAACTCAGGAAAGAGACAAACATACAGATTTCTACCTGCATGTTTCATATTCAAAGGTGCCAAATCCCCCTGGCAGGTTGGCTGGTACTCAGCAGAAAAACCTTCTGAGGGGCCAAAACAGGAAAGAGACGCCCCCTACTCACAACACAGCTTTGCTATCGATTCTTGGAGCAGTTCTGCTTCTGAACGCCTCTGCAGAAGACCGCCGCACTCAGAAAACACGTTTATGTAGGAGGAGACATTCAAAGGAAGGTGGCTTCGTCTGCTCTGAACAAATGAACTCCGGAAAGAGACGAACATACAGATTTCTACCTGCATGTTTCATATTTATGACACCAGATGGCTTGATGTGGAGAGCTAGCCTAGCTGCGTAAAAGCAGGAAGCTTTTGATTACTTGCAGATGATATTTCAGATATATGTTTATGATGACAAAAATGATGTTTTAATCTCACTAGAATTATGATTATTATCTCCTATTTCTAACTAATAGATTCCATTATTAACCACCTTTAGTCAGAAAACCACATTCAGAATATTCCAAACAGATTACATGCTATAAGCTCAGGAGCTCATGTCCTCAAATTGCAGGTGTTTGGCACTGATATTGCTCTCGAATTAAGAAACGTTGTCACTATCTAAATGGCAATACGGCCTAACAACACACACCACACACTCAAACTGACAGTACAGCATTAAAATTAAATTCTTGACTCAATTCTTGTGCTGCTAACAGTGTCTGATCCAAAACAAAAGGAGGATTTCTAAAACGGATCAGAGGCGGTATTTAATTATTCATCTCACTCTAACGAAGAATTAAACTAATCTATCTGGCAGTGACACACGCAGTTTTCCGTGACGACACAGACGGGTGCCAAACAGCATGTGGCAGTGACGGGTTAGCATGGGTCGCTAATAATAAATGAAATGCTCAGTTAATAGCAGCTTGATAGCTTGTGAGTGTGAACATGTTGTGAGATATGATTCATAGAACTAGAATTGTGTTATTCCTTACTTTCCTGCTAAAAACATCTTAAACCAGCCTAAGATAGTTTACTGGTTTTAGCTGACTGGCCACTGAAAACCAGCAAACCATTTTAGACCAGTTTAAGCTATTTTGTTTTCTTAGCTGGAGCAATAAACCTTTTCATCTAAAGGTATGCTTTATAAGCAATAAACTGTTCACATCCCTTGGATAAGTGAGGAAATCCTTTGGGTCTTCATGCTGTTCTGGGGCGCAAGGCTAGTCTTTAGCTGTCTAGCTGTGCTTATAATCTCCAGATGGTCTATTATTCTGTATTTCTTCCAAAATAACATAATGTTTAATCTCATTTTTGATGAAAATGGTTTCTTCTCTGCAGCTGCAGAACTACTGTAGAATCTTTTTTTTCTGCCTGAGCTTGATCTGATCACAGGAAACTATCAGTGAATTCTGGGAGGAGAATCACTGACTGTGGGCTTTTTTACATTATTCAGAATTGCAGTGTTTGGCAAACGTACACTCCTCTGCTCCATATATTATGGTGGATTTCTGCAACGACGTATGAGCTCATGGAGAATCTATGTCAAGAGTTCTGCTGAATAATGGTGTTTCCCTTTCAAGGGAACTTCGAACTGCGTCCTCTAGGGGCCGCTATGGGGAATGCCTCGTCGTGACCCGTGTCTGAAGCATACATTGAAAAAACACCAACAACACGTTGGCCGGCGACAGCCCATGACGTCACTACCGGTGCGACTATAATATAAATAGGCGCCGGGAGAACATGTCATTCTCTTCTTCGTCTTCACTGACCGTTTTGTTTGAAGCGTGCATTTCTGTGGTAAAGAGCGATCTATATTCCTGTCGTTATGGCGAGCACTAGCAAAGCATTTACAGGGTGTGTGCATCCGCGTCGTCGTTATTTGACACCTGATGACACACACGATCTCTGCGTTGTTTGTTTGGGCAAAGAGCACGCACGCGATGTCCTTGAGGGGGCAATCCACGTTCATTGTGAGCGTATTTTAATGAAAAGCTCCGCTGCAGATATCGGGATGGAAGAGAGGGGCTTTCATCTCGATGCGCCGGTTTCGCCTTCCGAATATTTTTGGTTACCTACGTTGAGACGGTGGTCGAGAAGTTCAGGGAGGCAAAGGCGCGCTCAGCGGCCTTCAAATCCTTCATTCCACGAAGGTCCAGGTCTGAGCCCGAACAACCCAGGGGTCCTGGCCCGTCTAG